ATTTCCGGAAGGTGAGAACCTTATTGGCTCTCTGCTCTGTTTCAGGCCCCCAGCATTGTGATGGCACAGGAAATGTAGAGTGAATGATTGAGTTGGATTTTTTAAATTTTTTTTATTTTTTTATAAACATATAATGTATTATTAGCCCCAGGGGTACAGGTCTGTGAATCGCCAGGTTTACACACTTCACAGCACTCACCATAGCACATACCCTCCCCAATGTCCATAACCCCACCACCCTCTCCCTACCCGCCTACCCCCGGCAACCCTCAGTTTGTTTTGTGAGATTAAGAGTCTCTCATGGCTTGTCTCCCTCCCGATCCCATCTTGTTTCATTTATTCTTTTCCTACCCCCAAACCCCCCACGTTGCATCTCCACTTCCTCATATCAGGGAGATCATATGATAGTTGTCTTTCTCTGATTGATTTATTTCGCTAAGCATAATACCCTCTATTTCCATCCACGTTGTCGCAAATGGCAAGATTTCATTTCTTTTGATGGCTGCATAGTATTCTATTATATATATATATATATATATATATATATATATATATATACCACATCTTCTTTATTCATTCATCTGTTGATGGACATCTAGGTTCTATCCATAGTTTGGCTATTGTGGACATTGCTGCTATAAATATTCAGGTGCACGTGCCCCTTTGGATCACTACTTTTGTATCTTTAGGGTAAATACCCAGTAGTGCAATTGCTGGGTCATAGGGTAGCTCTATTTTCAACTTTTTGAGGACCCTCCATGCTGTTTTCCAGAGTGGCTGCACCAGCTTGCATTCCCACCAACAGTGTGGAGGGTTCCCCTTTCTCTGCATCCTCGCCAGCATCTGTCATTTCCTGACTTGTTAATTTTAGCCATTCTGACTGGTGTGAGGTGATATCTCATTGTGGTTTTGATTTGTATTTCTCTGATGCCGAGTGATGTGGAGCAATTTTTCATGTGTCTGTTGGCCATCTGGATGTCTTCTTTGCAGAAATGTCTGTTCATGTCCTCTGCCCATTTCTTGATTGGATTATTCATTCTTTGGGTGTTGAGTTTAATAAGCTCTTTATAGATTTTTGGATACTAGCCCTTTATCTGTTATGTCGTTTGCAAATATCTTCTCCCATTCTGTCAGTTGTCTTTTGGTTTTGTTAGCTGTTTCCTTTGCTGTGCAAAAGCTTTTGATTTTGTTCAAGTCCCAATAGTTCACTTTTGCCCTTGCTTCCCTTGCCTTTGGCAATGTTCCTAGGAAGAGGTTGCTGAGGCTGAGGCCAAAGAGGTTGCTGCCTGTGTTCCCCTCAAGGATTTTGATAGATTCCTTTCTCACATTGAGGTCCTTCATCCATTTTGAGTCTATTTTTGTATGTGGTGTAAAGAAATGTTCTAATTTCATTTTTCTGCATGTGACTTCCAATTTTCCCAACACCATTTGTTGAAGAGACTGTCTTTTTTCCATTGGACATTCTTTCCTGCTTTGTCGAAGATTAGTTGACCATAGAGTTGAGGGTCTATTTCTGGGCTCTCTATTCTGTTCCATTGATCTATGTGTCTGTTTTTGTGCCAGTACCATACTGTTTTGATGATGACAGCTTTGTAATGGAGCTTGAAGTCTGGAATTGTGATGCCACCAACTTTGGCTTTCTTTTTCAATATTCCTTTGGCTATTCGAGATCTTTTCTGGTTCCATATAAATTTTAGGATTATTTGTTAAGTTGGATTTTTTTTTAAAGATATCACAGAGATTCCCCAATAACTCGTGACCAAGAAGACTCAGTGTCTTCAGACCTGCTCAGCTCATGACCTTGGGCTGTCTCAGACTTGTCTCCAAGTCCCCCTGGCCCTGAGAAGTCCCCACTCTAAGGATAACACATCTCACGTGCCAGCCCCAAGATGCTGGGTGGAAAGTGTCTGAGCCCTCTTCTGCTGCTCTTCACCAGAAAAGGCTCTGTACTGACTTCATTTTTTCTGCCGTGGTTGGGGGTCACAGAGTAGCTGCCCAAATGCTCATCTGTGCCACCCCTGCCCCAAAGTTTCCATTGCTCCCATGAAGGAAAACGTGAGCCCTCACAGCCTGGAGATAAGACCCTTCCTTGATGTAGAATTATCCTTTGAGTTCCAATTAAAGTACCTACTTTGAGTCAAGCCTTACTCCTAGGCACACGGAACTCCCTCAGATCCAGTGCCCTTCCTTGTTGGAATCTGGTGAGCGTGGCTCAGCCTCAGGCCTGCCAGCCACCATTTGGTCACCTCCCTGCTGTCCGCAGCTGGTGGTGTGGCTCTCAGCTCTGCCCCCACAGCTATGAGACCGCTCACCCCCCCCCCTTCCAGGCCTCGGTGTCCTCCTTAGAGAAAGGGAGACAGTAGGATCCAACCCATGGGGTTGCCAGGGGATTCGGCAAGATATATGTGTAAAATTCTTAGCCTAACTCCAGCTGCAAGGTAAGCACTCAATAAGGGGTAGCTGGTTTAATCATTTTCTTGATACTTTATTATTTTTATTATTAGAAGAAAAGTGAGTTTGGGGTTCTGCTCTGGAACTCAGGCGGTCCTTCGAGATGTGGCTCTGGGCAGAGAGTAGGAAACCTGATAGCCAGCAGGTGCTGGAAAGGCTGAAGGGCCAAAGCCAATAGGAGGGCAGCTGGCCAGCTACGGTTGTTGCTAATTACAACCTGATTTCTCCAAGCTCGGGATCGGGCCTCCGGTTCACGCCTCCTTAGAAACGAGCTGCCACATGGAGAACATAGTTGAACCTGTGGCTGATGCCCAAGTCAGGGAAAATGCAGAGCGTGTTAACGGAGCTCTTTCCATTTCAGCTGTGGCTTAGGGCTGATTCAAAAGATCCATCATAAGGATCGTCGGCTAAGCCTGGATCCTTATGATGAGCTAGGAAACAGCTTCTGAATTCTGTCTTTCCAAGGACAAAGGGCTGCTTGGGTGAGGACCTGAGGCCAAGGAGCAGTGACCCAAGGCCAAGGAGCAGTTGCCAGAGGGGATGAGTCCTGGAAGAGCAATGCCCATACAGAACAGCATGTGCAAAGCTGGCGAGGGAGAGAGTATCGCTCGGGGCTGCTCTGAGCATCTGGAGCAGAAGGAGGAGTGGGGACCGCAGATGATGAGGGTGGCAAGGTCCATCTCATGCCAGTGTTTAAATCATGTGAGGCCTTATAAGCACATGAGATACTTTGGCCTGTATCCTGAGGGCCTTAGGGACCAGAGACCAGACTTAAGCAGGAGAAATACCTATTTATTTCTTCATCAAGGTGCTTTCCTCCACCCTCCTAGCCTGGAAAGAGAGTAATCCGCCCTCCATTCATCTTGGCTCTGGGACAGGTCATGGCTGAGCTCAAAGGCACCTGAGTAGAGAAGAGTCCAGGAAACGGGAAGAAGCTCTCTTATAGGACCATTAAGAAATGTCACCAACAAACCGGCTGTGTTGGCATTTTAGTTGCGTTGGAAGAGCAAACATCCGGATAGGAATCCTGGCAAGGTGTGCTAGCAGGAAGCAGCAGGGGTGAATGGGTCCTGCCCACAGGGAGGAGGGCTAGGGTGGATGTCATCAGCTAGCAAAGTCCTTGTAGACAGGCGGCCTCCCTGCCTGACACCCCTTTCAGGACAAGTAGATGGCATAACCCTCATCTTATAGAGGAAGAAGCCGGGGCCCGGAGAGGTGTGCCCCAAAACACACAAGAACTGAGTGACGAGTGCAGGTCTCTCTGATGGACCTGAAGTCCGTCCTCTTTCCTGACATCACTGCTCCTTCCTCCCTGACCCTCTCAAGACCAAGGCCATGAGTGCTGCCCCATGCTCAGCCTGGCATTTTCATCCTCTGGCAGGATGTTAGAGTAGCTGAGAAAGGGGCTCTAGCAGCCCCAGACTCACAGATGTCCAACTTAGAGTCACCAGGGAAAAAACAGCTTCTCTACCCCCCCACTCCCCATCCCTTATCCCCCCATCTCCCCACCCCCCAGTTTCCAAGATCTGTCCAGGGAAAAACTCTGATTGGCCTTGCTTGGGTCCCATGCCCCCTTCTAAACCAACCACAGAGAAATCACCTTGTTACCAGCTCCTCTTGACAGGATGGGGGACCATGATGGGGGTCCCCTCATCCAGGACCACAGGTAGGCATTAGCCCTGATTTGGGGGGTCAGGAAAAGCTTCCCAGAGGAAGCAACTTCTACACTGAGATCCCAGGACCCTGGGATCATGACATGAGCCGAAGGCAGACTGAGCCACCCAGGCATGTCTTGCTCACAGCCCTATCCCCTGTCTCATACACAGCCTGCCTTCCTGTGATTGCTCAGAGACTGCTTCAGAAATTAAATCCACAAGTTGCTGTATGGCCTTAGACAAGTCAGTTGCCCTCTCTGAACTTCAGCTTCCTTCTCTACACAGTCGTCTCATTGCCCTAACCTTTCAGGACTGTGCAAGAATCCGGTTCATTCAGGCCCCTGATATTCTTGGAGCACCACCTCTGTGCTCAGCCTTGTACAGAGCCTGCAGGAAACCAGGCCTGCCATGGAAAAGGAAAGCATGCTTGCGGCTTATGCACAGAGCCAGACCTGCAGCCAGAAATCCAAAGGGGTCCAAGGGGAGGGGCAGGACAAAGGGAGAGAGGCTCAGGACAGTGAGGGAGGACCATGGGTTCTGCCTTCCCCTCCCTACTCCTCCAGCTCCATCCCCTCCTTTCCACCCTCCAGCCTCCCACCACCGCCAGCCCTGTGACCACATACTACCCTGGGGCCATCATATGTGTGCAAGGACAGTCCGACTTTTCTCCCCATGCCTTTGCCCCACAGCTCTGTAACCTGAATAACAGGTTGTGACAGACGTTCTCGCAGGAACAAGTAAGGAAGAAACTTTTGGTTTGGGTGGTTACGGATGGAATTCTTGCCCCACCCCGCATACAGGTCCGAAGTGCCTTTCTCCCTCCCTCCCCACCCCCAGCAGACCTGGTCCCAGTGCCCAGGGCTGTGGAGCTAGAGCCTCCTGAGCACCCATGGGCTGGCAGGGTGAGCTGGCCAGGTGAGCGGGCGGGGAGCTCAGGAGACTGGAGAGCCCTGCAGGTGCTGAGGGGACGGTTGGGGACTCAGCCAGGAGGGACATCAGACTCACCGCTCTCCCCACCCCCAAGCCCTGAAGCCAGAATCCATGCTTGGCATGGGCAGGACAGCAAGAAGCTAGCCCCATGCCCAGGTATGCGTCCCAGCCTCTATCTCTGTCCCGTCTCTCTTGTCTCTCTCTGAATGGCACTTTTTCTCCCTCTGAGCCTGGGTAAATGCATGTCCTGAGTATTTGCTCTTCCCTCTTGCAGTCAGAGCTGCTCCAGCTGGCTGTGGGGGTTCAGAGACTTAGAACAGTTACCACCAGCCCTGCCCTCCCCTCCCCTAGGTTTCCAGATACCCCCTGGGGGTCCTTTATGTGTTTTCCTCCTCTGTCCCTGTCTTGTTCTTTCTCTTTGTGTCCCTCTCTGTATCTCTGCCGTCCCCTCAGCCCCTTGTCCTTTGTCTCTCCAGTTCCGTCTCCCGCCTGCTCTCTATGAATATCAACGTGTATCTCGTCACCTGCGCGTCCCCAACTACTTGACCCTGTTCCATCCTTCCATCCTGTCTGGCCCCCAGCTCTCCTGGGTCCCCACACATGCGGATCCCACGGAACGTCCTTCAGCATCATCTGGGGGCCTGGGCTCCCAGACTGTAGGTCAGATTCCAGGAATACTCAAAAGCGTAATATACTCTTGTATCGAAAAAAAGTGAGGGGGGGTGAGGTGATCATTTGAATTTCAGGAAGTTAAAGTTCTATAAAACCTCTGTGGGCGGAGTCAGGCATGGGTTCACCTTTCTCACCCAGAAGGACCTAACCGGCAGGTCTGAGTGGGTGGGAACATTTTCAGACTTATCAAAAGGAAATGTAGATTTGCCCTTGCTTTCGTTTAAATATCAGGGAGTGACCCAGGGAACTGCTTGAATGGCCTCCTGTCTCTTATCTGGGTCCTTGGCCATAGGGCTTTGGAGACCAAGTTTGTTGGGATGGATTCTTAGGATAAAGAAGATTCTGGAGTAGGGAGGGGGCAAAAAGAGTCGTGGGAGCAATTCCTTGCAGTCAGAGCCGCTCCAGCTGGCTGTGGGGGTTCAGAGACTTAGAACAGTTACCACCAGCCCTGCCCTCCCCTCCCCTAGGTTTCTAGATACCCCCTGGGGGTCTTCACAGCTGCTGAGTCACTGGGAACTGCCCAGCACCTGGGGTGTGACACAGGTGAAAGCTGGGGCCTGGGGCTCAAGAAGGCAGGGAACTCCAGTTTCAACTCTCCTCTGGGACAAAGGGCCCTGGCAGTGGGACCCTGTGGGGATTGGGCAGTGGAGACCTCCTCCAAATTCTGGCTGTGACCCTTACAAGCTGAATAACCCTGGGCTTAACCACGGCGAGTCTTGGCTTACCTACCCTTAAAATAGGGGTGTGCGAGGACGAAAGGAGATAACTGCGTATATAGCACCTGCGCAAACTCACCCGTAATGTGAGCGTTCTCGTTACTCTTCCCCTTGGCACTTTGGCAGAAATCACTCGAGCTGCTGTTTCCTGATGGTTTTGCTGGAGCCAGCTAGCTCAATGTCTCTCAGCTGGCTGGAGGGACGGAAGGATGGATGGATGGATGGAAGGATGAACAGATGGAAGGATGGACGGACGGAAAGATGGACAGATGGAGGGTGGAAGGATGGACGGATGGAAGGATGGATGGATGGATGGATGAATAAATCAATCCTCCAAGAGACAGTGGCTGGCAGACTACAACTTCCTCTACCTGCCAATCTCTGCACTCAAAAAAGACGTGTTGAGGGCACCTGGGTGGCTCAGTGGGTTAAGCCGCTGCCTTCAGCTCAGGTCATGATCTCAGGGTCCTGGAATCGAGTCCCGCATCGGGTTCTCTGCTCGGCAGAGATCCTGCTTCCCTCTCTCTCTCTCTGCCTGCCTCTCCATCTACTTGTGATCTCTCTCTGTCAAATAAATAAATAAAATCTTTAAAAAAAAAAAAAAAGACATGTTGAATAGAATATAAAATTCTAGGGGCAGAAGTGAAGGAGAGCTGGAGGCAGAGAGTGAACAGAAGACAGATGGTGAGGAACCAAACCGAAAGTCAGTGATCTCCTCAGTCAGAGATACTCATCCCTAATCATCTACCTTATTCGTTTTCAGACCCCAGGTGCCAGTTTCCAATTTGATTTCCTTCTCTCCACAGGCTAACACTGACCCCAAGCTGCTCCTCACCTGGACAAGATGAGAAGATCAGGTAGGGGCCACGTTCCAAGGATTCAAAATCTCAAGGTCTGATACTGGTTTAGGAATCATTTTTTCTATCAGGAGTGCAGCCAGTCCCTGGACTCAGAGCTTTTTTGGCATCCCATGCTCTCAGATGTTCAGACCAGACTAACTCTAGGAGGAAACCCATCCAGGGGTAAGCCTGAAAGAGGGGAAAAGGCAACTTGCTGCCCATAGGCTGAAGGACCAGATAAGCTTTGCCATCATGGCCCCACCAGGCTGGGATCACAGGGACTGTCCCTATTTTGGAGATACCTAACCCTGGAAGGAAGTGAGGGCTCAAGGAGGGCTGTTCTAGAAACTTCATACCACGGGGCTGGGCACAAGGAGCAGCCTTTGCCTTCTCATCCATGTTCTCATGCTTTACCCTCTGTACAGATAGGGAGACTGAGGCACCAAAGAAGAAATGGACACAATTCATTTATATTCCCAAATAGCTGTGAGGAAGTTCAGAGCACAAGTTTTAGAGTCAGCGCACTTCTCTTCCCTTCAAACGCCACGTCTGAGCCAACTGACCACCTCCCTGAGCCTGTTTCCTCATCTGCAAAGTGGTAATGATCAGTAGCATCCAACACGTACATTTACCGTGAGGATGAACTGACATAACTATGTATGTGAAAGCTGTTGGCCCACTGCCTCCAACAAAAGTCTGTATCATGTGAGCTGATGCCCAGGGAGAATTCTGGGTGCCTCCAGCCACACTGGGGCCCAGAAGATGAGGGACCCTCCACAGCCCTGAGCCGTGCCCCACAGGATCCAGGGGCCTTCTCCACCCCTAGTAGCGAGAGGCTAACACAAGACCCCAGAGCTGAATTCAGGGCCACACGGAGGTCAGGGACGGACCTAGAGAGTGTGGCTTGATGGCAATGGGGCCACCAGAGTCCCTGAGCTAGGAGGTGTAGTGGCACCTGCCTCTGGCCCTCATGGGAGAGTGGGGGAAGGGAGTGAGACTGGGAGCTCTGGGTGTCTGTCCTGGGTGGGGGTTTGCTCCCCACTGGTGCAGAAGCAGTCAGGCTGTGAGGCCAGGGAAGCCACGTCAGCAAGGCCAATGTATGTTCCTATAGATAGCATTGTGTGGTTATTTGTGGCAGCTTTCAGGAGGAGTGATGGAAAATGTGAAGGACCAGCCCTAGCCCCAAGCCACTAGAGGCTGCCTACTAGAGACAACTATCCCATCGCTCCCAGCGAGCTGTGGGCTCGGAAGCAAGGCTGTTGAACCATGTCCACCCTTGACTGAGGCACTCCTGCCCAGAGAGGCTGAGCTTTGGCCCGAGGTCACACAGCGGCACTGGCTGTCCAGAGCACTGCCACAGCCTTCCTGACTCCTGTGGCAGGGCTCCCCGAGCGGGCTGTCTGCTGCAGAACCTGCCTCCTGCTTTGCTGCCACACATTCGGGCCTCATCCCGGGGTGCTGGATAAGAGTGCAGATTCCTGGGCCTCACCCCTCAAGAGTCTGTCTCTGGGTAGCTACGTGGAGCCCAGGAAGGCTCATTTCTAACTTTTTCTCCCAGTAGACCCACTTGGGGAAATGTGGCCACGTCACCTTGCATCACGGTCTCACCATTTGATCACTGCATGGACTCGCACATGGTCCCACCATGCGGTCCCCTGACCTGGTCCAAGGTGTGGGCCTCAGTCTGGTGGGGTCTCGTGACATGGTCTCACTGTGGGGATTCGGTAAGGACTCACAAGGAGCCTTGCTATGTGGCCTTGTGATGGGGCTTCACGGCAGGATCTCCTTGCTCTGCAGGTGTGCTCCGACTCCTGGCCCTCATCTTTGCCCTGGTCTCCACATGGATCTTTTTGCGCAGCTTCAGCAGCTTAAACATGAAAACTATCCATCTGTCCCGCTGGCTGGGTGAGTGGGGCTCACTGCTGGGGCAGGGACTGTGGACCAGGACGGAGCCAAGGATAGTCCTCCCTCCATCTGTGGGTGACCCAGGAGACAGTCAGACATGGCAGAGTTTGGGCTGCCTTTGGGACTCCAGCCTTTGGGGGGGGTGGAGCCTGCCAGGAAGCCTGGAGCCCATGGGGAAACAGAGAAGTGTTCCAAGACCCTGGCCAAAACATGTGCCTGCATCAAGGGCCATTTTGGAAATGTGATTCCAAGAAAAATGGACAGAGGGAGAAAGAAAAGGAAGGAAGGAAGGGAGGAGGGAAGGGAGGAAGCCAAGAGACACAAAACTGAGCATTGAGTGGTATCTAGCCACGGCTGCTCTCACCTCTTCCTGAAACACTCTTCACACAGATGTCCCTCTTCTCCAACTTCAGGTCTCTGCTCAAATATGACCTCCTCAGAGAGGCCTTCCCCAACAACCCCAGCTGCAGCCATGACACCTCCCTCTACTTTAGCCCCTATGTCAGCCTATTTCCTTGAGAGCTTCACCATCATCCATTATTAGGGTGTTTATTTATTTGTCTACTTGGTTGTTTTCGATCGCCATCCCCTAGAATGTAACCTTCTTGAAGGCAAGGATTTTATCCTGTGTACATCCATTTCTCTAGCACTCAGTGCAGGGCAGATGCTTAGTAAACATTTGATGAATGAAAGAAAAATGAATGGATGGATGAATGAATGATGAATGGGTGGACTGATGGAAGGTGGATGGAAGGATGGGTGAATGGATGGATATGTAGGTGGATGAATGGACAGGTGGATGGATAGATAGTGGATGGATGGATGGATAGATGAATGATGGATAGATGGTTGATGGATGGGTGGATTGGTAGATGGTGGGTGGAGGGATGGATGGATGGATAGATTATGAATGGGTGGACAGATGTATAGATGGATGGATGGTGGGTAAGTGGGTAATGGATGGGTGGATGGGTGGATGGATGAATGATGAATGGGTGGATAGATGGGTAGATAGATGGTTGGATGGCAGATGGGTGGCTGGATGGATGGATGGGTAGATGGATGGATGAGTGGATGATGGATGGGTGAATGAATGATGTCTGGATGGATGATGGATGAGTAATGGATACCAGTTGCTTACATGCATAACCTCATATAATTTACACAAATGGCCCCATGAGGTGATCCATGGTGTGGTTGTGGAGTGGACTCATACACGACTTTGTGGTGTGGTTTTATGTGTAGTCTAAGAAAGGAGAAGCTCAGGGAGCTTCAGGGAGATGAAGAAAGTTGCCCAAATTTCCCCTATATAGGTCAGCAGGAATGGGAGCCCATGTCTCTCAGGTCCAAATCCTTTCAAAGGAAGGAAGGAAAGGAAAGGGATTTATGCGTCCTTATTTGTCCTCCTTGGATTTAGGGAATGACCTCCACTGACATGGTCAATAACCTCTAGCAGCGCAGTCTAGCTCACAACTTCACAGCAATGAGAAGCCAGTCACCACACAGAGGAGTCTCTGAGATGCCACACCTTGTCCACTTCTGGTCAGGTGTGGCTCACACCCACATCAGGATGAATTGTATAAACCCATGTAGGCCACCATGTCCCTGGCCCCAGGGCAGTGCTTTTACAGAGATGGACGTGGCTGTGCGGACAGGCTGGGAAGAGATGGGCCCAGGTCAGTGTAGGAGGCTCTGAGCAGAAGTGGAGCTCAGGGATGTCCTCTAGAGGAGAGAGCCCCAGCCTGAAGTGAGAAAGAGGACAGGGTTTGAAAGTACACACCAGAACTGAAGTCTGATGAATCAACACCTCCAACCAACATGGAGTAACTATTCTGTTAGGTCCCAGGGACCCCAAAATGAGAAACATGTGGCCCCCGCTCATGGTCTGAGTCAGAAAGACAAACAGACTTAATTACAGAATATACAAAAACAAAAGTGATGATCCAGGGTCTCAAGAAATACTTAACAGGGACAGGACAGGTAACCAGTGGGAAAGTGGCCATTGAAAACCATGAATGCTCAGCCGCAGAAAGGGGTAATCACTTTCTTCAGAGGTTCCTACCCTGGCTGCATACACCCCCCCACCTTATTATTTAATGCACTAATAAAGAAGCACATAGATTATTGTAGCACAAATTTATGTTTTAATATTTTATTATATTGATGTATAGTTGATTTCCATTCTAATCTATTTTATTTTATGCATTTAATAACATGCTCTGTTAGAGCAGGAAGTCCTGTGTGTGTGTGTGTGTGTGTGTGTGTGTGTGTGTGTGTGTGTGAGTGAGTGAAGGGGTGGCAGTGTAAGGTGAGGGAGGGCTCCCTGACAGGGTGGGACTTCTAGAGTTCACCTCAACATCCCCCACAGGAGGAGAACGCTTGGCCCGGCCAGTGCCACTCTCCAGCCTCCAGCAGGGGGCGACCAAAGCACTTTCTCGCTAACCAGATTGTGTCTTCTCTCCAGCAGATTTGGACTCCAAGAAGGTCGGTGAGTATCACCCCAGCCCTGCCTTTGCCTTAGAGTGAGATTTTCCAGGGCTGCTCCTCCCAGCCCTGCAGGCCCTAGAAAAATCTTGGTGCCCAGAATCTGCCCGGCTCTCTACTCCCATGGCCCCAAGGTGCCTTCTGAAGCCCCCCCAGCCCTGTAGCAGTAGTGGCCTCCTCTCAGCCATTCAGACTGATGGAGATGGCTCAGCTCTCCCTTCCCTAGCAACCCCACCCTGCAGTCTGGATTGCCTCCCTAGTCACAGCCCCTGGCCCTGCACAGCCACCTCCCCTCTCTGACCCCCACTGAGCCAGAGCCCTGAAGATGGGTGCTGTGCTTATTATCATCGCGCAGCGACCACAGGCTTGGGTCACAGTTCCTGCTCCTGAGTTCCCCGGGGCCATATGGGGCACTCCAGGTGCCCCCAGAAGCATATAGAAGGGGGTGCTGGTTGTCTTTTAGGGTAGAAGTGCCCATTTTGCCAAGAGAGATGGGGCAGAGTGTTCCGGCCTCCGGGAGGGCTACCCCCTTCCAACGGGATGAGATCAGAGAAGCCATTAGGGAGGGAATCGCAAAGGCCTCGAGGCAGTAATGTCGGAGTCTGCAAGAGAGACCATGGCTGGAGAGTCAGGCACTGGAAAGTGGGAATGCTGAGGCCTCCAATGTTGGATACTGCAGCCGTCCAAGCAGGGCTTCAGTGAAAGACCACAGCTCCCAAAGTGTGGAGAGGGGGGAAGGGAGGGACAGTTATGATGATGATGATAGTACAGTGATGGAGGGCCGACTATGTTCTGTGTTCAGAGCGTTCCAGGCATCTCATGCAATCCTCACCACCTCGGGTAGGCACTCTAATTATACCCATTTTATAGGTGTGCACACTGAAGCTCAGAGAAGTGAAATCTCTTGGCCAAGGCAACACAGATGTACACAGTGGAGCAGGAGTTCAACTCCAGGCTAGCCCAGAGTCCACCGTCTCAACGCTCCTTTCAGGAGGCAACATCTCCAAGCCCCCCTTCTCCCACCCTAACGTAATAGTGACAGAAGAGGGTTGTAGTTCCAGGAACAGAATTTTGACTGAGAAGGGCATGGGGGCCCCCGTGCACTGTGGGGTTACAGAGAGCAAAGACCATATGGATCAACACCAACCATTCACCCACACTTGCAACTCCATTGACCTGAGCCTCCTGAGTCCTATTCTGGAGTAGACACAGAGTAGCACAGCATCTCGGTACAAACACACACACACTCAGGCATCATCTGCTGGGGCATGACAGATCTGGGCACACACGCTGCCTCCCCCACCGCCGGCTCTCCTGGTCGACATTGACGGTTAAGCCCCTTAATAGCAGCTCCACTGACAGTTCCAAGAAGAGCTATCCGACAGCCCTGATCTAAACCAACTCCTTCATTTTATAGCTGGCAAAGGTAAAGGGAGAGATTTCTGGCAAGTCACACTGAAGATTATTCAAGAGCAGCCCACATTTCCTGACTGCTCCCCCCCCCCCCCCAGTGCTCTGTTTCACACCCTCAGCAACAGCACTAGGGGTTCCCAGAGGGCTTGGAGTCTCAGGGTTTGAGGCAGCTGGTAGGGGCAGCCCCCCAGCCCAAATCCAGAAAGCAAATCCCTGCCTCCCAATGGCTGAGCCCCCTGGACGTCATCCCCTTCAACCAGTAGCTGGACCGTAAAGGATGGATGGTCAGAAAATCAATTCTGGAAAAGCCTGCTTAAGCCAGCTTGTTGACATCAGGTTTATCAGACTTAGCTGCAGTTGATTAGGCTCTGGGCAAACTCTACAGTGGGGTCCAGGGCCTGGAACAATCCCTCCAGCATCAGTAAGAATGTCTGGTCTCAGGAGTTACCTGGCCTTTCCATGAGGGGATAGGGCACCAGAGGTGAGGGCCCAAGACTCACAGGAGAGTAGGACCCCTCCCCAGCCTCATCCTCAGCCTTCATACCCACCTTTCGGCAGGTGCTAGGCCTCCTGAGAAGGGCCCTCTTCAGAAGGTGGGGAAGGGGTCAGGTCCCCACGTCTCCAGCTCTCTTTGACCAGCGCCACTGGCCTAGACACCCACTCTGCCCTTAACAGCCCCTTGTGGGAGTCTCGGCACCTGGCGCTCATTCTGGTGACAGTGTCCTAGTTTGAGCTCTGGTTATACCCATCAGGTGGGTGTATTGAGTCTCGGAGCAGGAGGCAGGCAGAGAGCCCACCATAGGCATTCTACTCAGGCCTCCAGGGCCGCCTGCTTGGCTGGAGTACCCGGGTGTGGGCTTGGCAAGTCTTGCACATTGGGTTGTGTCCGCCCGAGAGGGGCACTTTTCCTTGAGGCACAGAAAGGCTCCCTAGAGGCTGGCAAGATCCTCAGCACCCTGATGGTATCCTTTCTCCCAGCCTGGAGCCCAGCCCTGCCCAACCACCTATGCGTTCATTCAGTGAATGTTTATTGAGTGCCTACTGTGTGCCAGACCCTAGAGTGCCAGACACAGGAGTTCCCGGTACGATTTAATAAGATAATAAATGTAAAGTGCTTGCCACAGTGCTTAGCACACAGCAAGCCCCAGGCGGCTGCCAGCTTGTCTCAGGAAGCCTGGGGGTTCGCTCCAAGCCTGTGCTACCATAGCTCAGCCGGGAGCGGGGCAGGGGCTGGAGGACACACACTGCCCGTTTATGGCTTTCCCTTCGCAGGTGAACTTTCTCTAATTCGGTGTTTACCCAGCTTCCCTAATGGTACTTTCCAAACTGTCAGGTGGTGTTTAAAAAAAAAAAAAAAAAAAAACAGCAACAGCAGGCATTAATATAAATGAGAGCCTGCCGGGCTGAAAACACAGGTGACGGAGATCCCCGCTCACAAAGAGTCCGTTGGGTTTGGGGGTCACAGATACATCTCCCGCCTCTCTCCAGCCTCTGGGGCTGGCCCTGGGAGGGCCACCGGGAGAGGACACGGGTCTGAATCCGAGCCAGGCGCTGAGCTGGAGCTAGAGCTGTCGTGGAAACCCTGAAAATAAACTCGAGGGTAGTCAGACACACAGGTGTCCTGCGTCTTCGGTGGGGAGGGCTGGAGGCGTCCTGCGCATGCGTAAAGGGGCAAATCCCCCGGCCTCAGATGGTCAGCGAAGGTGCCTTGGGGTGGAGGCCTCTCGCAGGGTCCGGAGCCTGCTCCCCGGCCGTTCCCCTGCCTCCTCCCGAGCCCCTTGCCACGCTGCGACCACCAAGGTTGGTCTGTTCCCTCCACAGAGGTCGTGAGGACCAAGTGCGGCCTCAGCAAGCCCTGCCCAGACAATTTCTTTGCCTTTAAAATCAGCAGCGGAGCCGCTAATGTCGTGGGTCCCTCCATATGCTTCGAAAACCTTGTGTAAGTTTCTTGCGTTCCCTTTCTTTTCATGGGTTCATTCGCCAATTCGAAGGGTGCAAGGGCGGGCGCTGAGACTGGCCCACACCTTCCACTGGCTTGCTTTTCCTCTGGGCGGATGAGTCACAAGTAACAGTAATCCAGACAGCTTTCCCATCTGCCAGCACCTTGCTAAATGCTTCCCGGCTTCCTCTCATTCAATCCCCCAACCCTCCCTGGGGGGTGGGGGGTGGGGTTGCAATTAACCCCTTTGCAAAGATGAGGAAATGGAGGTTCAGAAGCCATTACCCAGCTGACCCGTGGCAGAGTCTGGATTTGAACTCTTGAGCTTGTCTGCCTGACAGCAAGGTCCTGGGCTTCCTCTAAAGGGGAATGCCTCTGGGGAGAGCTCAGAATCAAGATTCAGACCTCAAAGTTCAGATGGAGCAGGTGCGGTGGCTTCCATCCAGGTGCAGGACAAAGATTATGTACTCATTATCCAAACCAGATGGTAAAGGCTCTGGGGCACTAAGTTTATCCTACCAAAGGGGCCAAGGACTGGTGGTGTATGTATTTATGTATGTATGTATTTTTCTTTAAATTTAATTTAATTTGACATATACTGTATTATTTTTTAGGTAGAATTTAGTGATTCATCAGTGGCATGGAACACCCAGTGCTCATTACACCACGTGCCCTCCTTCATGCCCATCACCCAGTTACCCCATTCTCCCACCCAACTCCCCTCCAGCAACCCTCAGTTGGTTTCCTATGATTAAGAGTCTCTTATGGCTTGCCTCCCTCTCTATTTTCATCTTATTTTACTTTTCCTTCCCTTCCCCATGTTCATCTGTTTTCTTAAATTCCACATATGAGTGAAATCATATGGTATTTGTCTTTGACTTATTTCACTTAGCATAATACCCTCTAGTTCCAAACAGATCATCACAAATGGCAAGATTTCATTCTTTTTAATGGCTGAGTAATATTCCATTGTATGTATATACAACATCTTCCTTTTTTTTTTTTTTTATAAGATTTATTTATTTATTTATTTGACAGATCACAAGTAGGCAGAGAGGCAGGCGGGGGCGGGGGTGGGGCGGGAGCAGGCTCCCTGCTGAACAGAGAGCCCGATGCGGGGCTTATCCCAGGACCCCAGGATCATGACTTGAGCCGAAGGCAGAGGCTTTAACCCACTGAGCCACCCAGGTGCCCCTGTACCACATCTTCTTTATCCATTCATCTGTCAATGGACATCTGGGCTCTTTCCATAGTTTGGCTATTGTGGACATTGCTGCTGTAAACATTCGTGTCCCTTTAAATCTGTTTGTATCCTTTAATAAACACCTAGTAATGAAGTTGCTGGGTTGTAGTGTAGCTCTATTCTTAACTTTTTGAGGAACCTCCATGCTGTTTTCCAGAATGGCTACCTCAGCTTTCATTCCTGCCAACAGTGTAAAAGGGTTCCCCTTTCTCCACATGCTCGCCAACACCTGTTGTTTCTAGAGTTTTTAATTTTTGCCATTCTGACTGGTGTGAGGTGGTACCTCATTATGGTATTGATTTGCATTTCCCTGATGCTCAGTGATGCTAAGTGTTTTTTCATGTGTCTATTGGCCATTTGTATGTCTTCTTTGGGAAAACGGCTCTTGATGTCTTCTTCCCATTTCTTGATTGGATTATGTGTTCTTCAGGTGTTGAGTTTGATAAGTTCTTTATGGATTTTGGATACTAGCTCTTTATCTGATAAGACATCTGCAAATATCTTCTTCCATTCTGTAGGTTGTCTTTGGTATTGTCAACTATTTCCTTTGCTGTGCAAAAGCTTTTTATTTTGATGAAGTCCCAATAGTTCATTTTTTTCTTTTTTTTTTAAAGATTTTATTTATTTATTTGACAGAGATCACAAGTAGGCAGAGAGGCAGGCAGAGAGAGAGAGGAAGGGAAGCAGGCTCCCTGCTGAGCAGAGAGCCTGATGCGGGGCTCGATCCCAGGACCCTGGGATCATGACCTGAGCCGAAGGCAGCGGCTTTAACCCACTGAGCCACCCAGGCACCCCCCAATAGTTCATTTTGCTCTTGTTTCCCTCGCCTTTGGAGATGTGTCTAGAAAGAAGTTGCTGCGGCCAAGAAAGAGGTTGCTGCCTTTGCTCTCCCCTAGGACTTTGATGGATTCCTGTCTCACATTTAGGTGTTTTATCCATTTTGAGTTTATTTTTGTGTACGATGTAAGAAAATGGTCCAGTTTCATTCTTTTGCATGTGGCCGTTCAGTTTTCTTAACACCATTTGTTGAAGAGACTGTCTTTTTCCCATTGGACACTCTTTCCTGCTCTGTCAAGAGTAGTTGACCACAGAGTTGAGGGTCTATTTCTGGGCTCTCTATTCTGTTCCATTGATCTATGTGTCTGTTTTTGTGCCAGTACCATACTGTCTTGATGATGACAGCTTTGTAATAATGCTTGAAGTCTGGGAACTGTGATACCACTGACTTTGGTTTTCTTTTTCAACATTTCTTTGGCTATTTGGGGTCTTTTCTGGTTCCATAAAAATTTTAGGATTATTTATTTCCAGCTCTGTGAAAAATGTTGATAGTATTTTGATAGGGATTGCATTAAATGTGTAGATAGCTCTAGGTAGCATAGACATTTTAACAATATTTGTTGTTCCAACCCATGAGTATGGAATGTTTTTCCATTTCTTTGTGTCTTCCTCTATTTCCTTCATGAGTGTTCTATAGTTTTTAGAGTACAGATCCTTTGCCTCTTTCCTTAGGTTTATTCCTAGGTATTTTACGATTTGGGGTACAATTGTAATTCTTTCTTTTGTCTCATTTTTAGTGTATAGAAATGCAACTGATGGCTGTGCATTGATTTTATATCCTGCCACTTTACTGGATTCCTGTATGAGCTCTGGCAATTTTGGGGTGGAGTCTTTTGGGCTTTCCATATAGAGTATAATGTCTTCTGCAAAGAGTGAGAGTTTGACTTCTTTGCCGATTTGGATGCCTTTTATTTCTTTTTGTTGTCTGATTGCTGAGGCTAGGACTTCTAGTACTATGTTGAATAGCAGTGGTGATAGTGGACATCCCTGCCGTGTTCCTGACCTTAGGTGAAAAGCTCTCAGTTTTTCCCCACTGAGAAGGATATTTGCTGTGGGTTTTTCATAGATGGCTTTTATGATATTGAGGTATGTACCCTCTATCCCTACACTGTGAAGAGTTTTAATCAAGAAAGGATGCTGTACTTTGTCAAATGCTTTTTCAGCATCAGTTGAGAGCGTCATATGGGTCTTGTCCTTTCTTGTATTCATGTGGTGTGTCACATTGATTGATTTATGGGTGTTGAACCACCCTTGCAGCAAGGAATAAATCCCATCTTGTCATGGTGAATAATCCTTTTATTTTTAAATTAACGTATAATGTGTTATTAGTCCCAGGGGTCCAGGTCTGTGAATCATCAGGCTTACATACTTCCCAACACTCACCATAGCACATACCCTCCCCAATGTCCATAAGTGAATAATCCTTTTAAAGTACTGTTGGATCCTGTTGGCTAGTATCTTGGTGAGAATTTTTGTATCCATGTTCATTAGGGATGTTGGTCTGTAATTTTCCTTTTGGTGGGGTCTTTGGTTTGGGTATCAAGGTATTGCTGGCCTCATAGAATGAGTTTGGAAGTTTTCCTTCCATTTCTGTTTTTTGAAACAGCTTCAGAAGAATAGGTATTAGTTCTTCTTTAAATGTTTGGTAGGATTCCCCTGGGAAGACCTCCAGCCCTGGACTCTTGTCTGTTGGGATATTTTTAATTATTACTTCAATTTCCTTGCTGGTTATGGATCTGTTCAGGTTTTTTCTTCCTGGTTCAGTTTCAGTAGTTTATACATTTCTAGGAATGCATCTGTTTCTTCCAGATTGTCTAATTTGCTAGCGTATAGTTGCTCATAATATGTCCTTTGTTTGTATTTCTTCGGTGTTGGTTGTTATCTCTCCTCTTTCATTCATGATTTTATTTATTTGGGTCCTTTCTCTTTTCTTTTTGATAAGTCTGACCAGGGGTTTATGGATCTTATTAATTCTTTCAGAGAACCAGCTCCTAATTTTGTTGATTGACTCCACTGTTCTTTTGGTTTCTATTTCATTAATTTCTGTTCTAATCTTTATTCTCTCCTGCTGCTGGATTTAGCCTTTCTTTGCTGTTCTTTCTCCAGCTCTTTTCGGTGTAAGGTTAGGTTGTGTATTTGAGACTTTTCTTGTTTCTTGAGAAAGGTTTGTATTGCGGTATATGTCCCTCTTAGGACTGCCTTTGCTGCATCCCAACAGCTTTGAACAGTTGTGTTTTCATTTTCACTCCTTTCCATGAATTTTTTGAATTTTTAATTTCCTGGTTGACCCATTCATTCTTTGCTAGGATGCTCTTTTAACCTCCATGTATCTGTGTTCCTTCCAAATTTCCTCTTGTGATTGAGTTCTAGCTTCAGAGCATTGTGGTCTGAAAATAGGCAGGGAATAATCCCAATCTTTTGGTACTAGTTGAGACCAGATTTGTCACCCAGGATGTGATCTATTCTGGAGAATGTTCCATGTGCACTAGAGAAGAATGTATATTCAGTTGCTTTAGGATGGAATGTTCTGAATGTATCTGTGAAGTCCATCTGGTCCAGTGTGTCATTTAAAACCCTTGTTTCCTTGTTGATCTTCTGCTTAGATGATCTGTCCATTTCAGTGAGAGGGATATTAAAGTCCCCTACTATTAATATATTATTATCAATATGTTTCTTTAATTTTGTTATTAATTGGTTCATATAATTGACTGCTCCCATGTTAGAGGCATAAATATTAACAGTTGTTAATTCTTGTTGGCTAGGCCCTTTAATTATGGTATAGTGTCCTTCCTCATCTCTTTTGATAGTCTTTGGTTTAAAATCTAATTGGTCTGATATAAGGATTGCCAACCCAGCTTTCTTTTGAGGTTCATTAGCATGATAAATTGTTCTCCACCCCCTCACTTTCAACCTGGAGGTGTCTTTGGGTCTAAAATGAGTCTCTTGTAGACAGCATATCAATGGATCATGCTTTATTAGCTAATCTGATACCCTTTGTCTTTTGATTGGGGCATTTAGCCCATTTACATTCAGAGTAACCATTGTAAGATACGAATTTTGTGCCATTGTATTATTACCTGTAAATTCACTGTTTCTGTATATTGTCTTTGTTGCTTTCTGGTCTGTGTTACTTTTGGGTTCTTTCTTTGCTTAAAGGATCCCCTTTTGTATTTCCTGTAGGGCTGGTTGAGTGGTCACAAATTCTTTTAGTTTCTATCTGTCCTAAAAGCTGTTTATCTCTCCTTCTATTCTGAATGACAGCCTTGCTGAGATCAAGTACCACATCGGGCTCCCTGCTTTGCAGAGAGTCTGCTTTTCTCTCTGTGCCTCCTCCCACTTGTTCTCTCAGTCTCTTTCCCTCTCTTTTTCTCTCTTTCTCTCTCTCTCTCTCAAATAAGTGAAATCTTTTAAGAGTTTATTTATTTGTCAGAGAGCGAGCACAGGCATTCAGTGGCAGGCTGAGGCAGAGGGAGAAGCAGGATCCCTGCCGAGCAAGGAGCCCGATGTGGGACTCGATCCCAGAACGCTGGGATCATGACCTGAGCCCAAGGCAGCCGCTTAACCAACTGAGCCACCCAGGCGTCCCAAATAAGTGAAATCTTTTTTAAAAAACAGGGATTTTTAACCTAACTCCAATTTGAGCAAAAGAAGGAACTTAGTGATTCCCACATACAAAATGCCGAGATAACACGCTTCAGGACCAGCTGGATCCAGGGGGTTTAAACCATGTCATCAGGGGTCCCTCTCACACCATCTTTAGCTCTGTTCTCTTCTGTCAGACTCTGTTTTCTCAACATGAAAACGGGCTGGTTCCTGTGAAGGAGGGAGGCCACTAGCTGGCTGACAGCAGCCCAGGCTGGCAGCCCACTGGGAAGAGAACTTTCCCATCCAAACTATCCCTATAAAAGTCCCAAGACTGAATTTCATTGGCTGGCCTGGGTCATATGACCGTACTTGGCTCAGTTACTGTGGGCAGGGACACAGGGTGTTCTACTCATCTGGTCCTGGAAGACTGAGGTCAGCCCTGAGAACTACCTAATCTGAGAGTAGAGAAAGATAGTTTTCCCAAGAAATACCAGAAGATCGGGCTGTGGATGCTGGGCAGGCAAGAACACAGCTGGTCTCCATATAGAAATCTCAGCCTCTGCAGGATGGCACCAGCACTCTGGCTTCTGCCTTCTTCCCAGCAACCAGGCCTCACTGCTTGGGGGAGGTGGGCTGGTCCCACCTCCAACACCTCAGAGCCCCAGGCAGGGACCTTCCCTCTTTTCCAAGCAGACTGTTCTCGTCCAAACATGCCATGAGTATTCCTCAGAGAATCCAGCCCACCGCTCGTTTCCAGGAGAAAACAGATGGCCCAAATTATTCTGTGTTTCCTAATGCTTCTGCATAGCGCCGTGTGGGCCCCCTCAGAGTTCCAGAGTCACAAAAGCAGAGTGTTCGTTCCACACTGGGGACCAACTGTTGTATTTTGTTTTTCTTCTTCTTATTCAGGATTATGAGTCCTGTGAAAAACAACGTGGGCAGAGGCCTGAACTTTGCCCTGGTGAACGGTGAGCTGTAGATCTACCCCCAGACAGTCCCCACCATGCTCTTAGTACTGAGAGCCAAGAGGTATGGGGAGGTGGTTAACATTCATTCAGCCAACAGCAGCTCAGCTCCTACCACATGCCTGGGGCCATCCTGGGGAAGCTTGTGGGGCAGGGGGTCTAAAAGACCTGGTCCTACCCACCAGAGTCCTGACCAGGCTCCTGCCATGTGCAGCTATCCCAGGAGGATGTGCTTCTCCTGTGAAGCATGACCCCACCCTCAAGGCCACGCAGCCTAAACCAACACAAGTGAAACCATGGGGGACAACCCCTAACAGTGTGAGGTGATGAACTGATTACATACCTTCATTCAGTCATTCAACAGTATTGACAGGTACTGTGGGCCAGGCCCTGTACAGAGCACTGGGGTGGGGGGTGGGGTCAGCCATGAACAAGAAGGACTGGCCCTGGCCTCACACTCCCTGGGGTACCCATGAAGTTGACCACCAATCCAGTGGGGTGAGCATCTGTGAAGGAGAAGGAAGCACAGCCCTGAGAACTGGGACACAGAGTGGGGTTGGGGGTCATCAGGGGAGGCTTCCAGAGGGAAGTGCTGGTCAGCTGAGGCCTAAAGGAATAGTATGGGTTGGCCAGAAAAATGTAGGGGAGACTCCTTCAAGGCTGGGGCAGCACTGTGCAGGGAACAGAGAAGGAAGGAGTGGGTAGAGGGATTAGGGGCCACATGGGATCTCTCTGGACACATCAGAAAAGGAGGGATGACAGGTACAGCTAGGGCAGGGGGCAGGCAGGATGACAGAGTGAGGGGCTAAGTGTCCTGCTAAGAAGTGTGGGCTTAACGCAGAGGACAACAGGGAGCCTCCAATAGGCTTGGAGCAGGGCATGAGGGCCCAGCCCTGCATTCCAGAAACTTCCTTCCAGCTTGGAGTAGGGAGCCTGGAGGCAGGGAGATGTGGGGGAAGGCCCACAGCCTCACTACCCTGCATCTCTCACAGGGAGCAAAGGCAGGCCAAGCCTGAAACAGGGACACATTTCGGGAGGGGTGGGTTTACAGGGACAGAGTAAGGACCACATGCTCTGCCCTTGGAGAGGCACAGATGAGATGGAGAGCAAAGGCCAATTCCCTGAATCTAAGAGCCACTTCCTAGGACAAAGGGCACAGCAGATACTCAGAAAGGAGGAGGTCAAGCTTGTGTGTGGCATGACCATGTGAACACACTTAGGAAGTAACAGGGTTTGGATTGGTTGCTCCTACAGGAGCCATCTCCCTTCTGCCAAGAATCCTGCTGAGTCGGGAGAAAGGTCAAAGCCTAGGGCAAAAATGGAGCCTTACCCAAAGCAGGAGGTCAGAAGGCACGCCCTGCTCCAAGCCTATCTGGGGCTCCCTATTGTCCTTCGCTTCAAGGCCATACTTCTTGCTTCAAATAGTCTCCCATGAGACAGGCTCAGACTAGGGCCTCCTGCTCTTCCCCTCATTAAGCGCAAAGACAAAAACAAGCATCAGTAGCACCAAGAGCTGACGCTTGCTGAGCCTTTGCTGTGAGCTGTTTCGTTCAGCCACATCCCCATGCTACAGTGGAGTTGTATGCCTATGTTCTAGGTAAGAAAATGGAGGCTCAGAGAGGTTGGGCAACTTGCCCAAGGTTACACAGCTGATAGAATCCTCTAGATTTGAACCTGAATCTGAAGGACTCAGGTCAAATTGCTCAGCTGAACTAACTTCTCTAGGCTAAAAGCCTCTGGAAGTGCCTGCTAGCTGTGGAGACCGGCCAGTGGATCACTCTCAGGGCCTTAGGTTCTCATCTGTATAATAAGCCAACAAGGATTGCTGAAGATTGGTGGTTCTCAGTCTTTTAGGGGGCAGAGATTCTTTTAAGAAACCGTTATACCTCATCCCCTTAATTCTAGAAAAATGCACAAATGAACATGATCAGTTTCATGTGTACATCGACCGCTCCCTTCCAAGGACCGTATAGTGGTGGCTTTGAGAACCCAGGAAGGGCTGTGGTGTAAACCCTCCACCGACCCATCAGGAGAGCCTCCACTACCCAGGTCCCTGTCCTCACCCTCTTCAGGCATCCACAAACTGGCCTGGGGGGAAGGGTCCCGTGGTCAAACTGTAGAGCTGCCATCCCCTCTGCAACACCCCCATCTAGTGGCAGAAATTGAGAACTGCGACTCCCCCTAAACACAAGGTTCCCTGTAGGACTCCTTTCACAAAATACACAAAAGCAGTTCAGATGACAGGACTCTGAACTTTGACTACATTCAGCCCACTGCAAAACCCTTTGCCTTCATGAACCAGAGGATTCAGGTGTCCTATTTAGGAAGAATTAATGATAATGATTGCAGTTATTTTTACTACTGTTTTCCAGCTAAAATTCGTCTTGTATGTTTACTACCTAGTTTAAATCCCGTAGATCCCATAACCCATTGTTCAGATGCAGCAGTTGACGCCCAAATACTAAGAGGTGCGTTAGGAAGTGGCAAGGCAGAACACAGCCCCAAAGGTGTTGGATACTGTTCGATTCCAGAGATCCTTCACCATCATATCCTTGTACCTCTCATCAGCCCAGAAATTCCTGGGCCCCTACTCAGTCCTGCATGCTTTCCATAGGAGCTGACTTGACTCCATTATTATTCCATTTTTAGATCTTAGACTAAAGAGTAGCCATTTTCTGAAAAACGATAGGCAGGATGATCTATTTCAGGAAATTACAATTTTGCTCTCTCATCTGCAGGAACCACAGGAGTGGTGCTGACACATAAATGTTTCGACATGTACTCTGGAGGTAAGCACTGAGGTCTCAGGGTGGGCTGAGCTCCTCGGCTCTCTTCTCCTGAGGAGACGACCAGAGAGAAAGCATGGTAGGGGTGGAGGACCATCCTGCTGTCTTTGAAACTTCTTCCTGCTGTCTTCTCTGGGTGCAGATCCCAAGATCAGGAGTCAAGTGCAATAGTTCATTTGGGAGGGGGTGATCTCAGGAAATGCCAGCAGGAAGTGATAGAGAGAAGGGGGAGACAGCTAGAACAGTGTGTTACCAGGCTGAACACGCAGGCAATTGGAACTCAAGAGCCAGTGTCAAGTACTTACCTCAGAGAAATCTCAGAAAGGCAAGGGAACTGGGGCTGTAATTCCCCTAATTCATTGGCACTTTCCACATTTCTGGCCTGCACCAGGACATAGAGGAAGATCTGGAGGTCAGAGAGGACCTTGAGGCAAAGAAACACTGGTGTTGGCAATTGGAGGCCAAGCAGGTGTGCACTCAAGTGCTAAGAATAAAGACACACAGCCCAGTTTGCTCTGCTAGGTAAAGGTATTTTTTTTTTAAGACCACAGGGATCTCTCTTGGGCCCAAGGACAGAACAAGTCCTCCCAAGGCCCGGAAAGGATCACTTAGAGGCTCCAAGCTCTCTGCATGTTGCTGCAGACCTCTTTTCTTCTCTCTCTGCACAGGCGTGCTTTCTGAGCGCTCTGGACAGGTGACCACCCCACTGTCCTCCCAGCCCGCGGATAGGACCCTGACCTCCTTGGGCTATCTGTTCCCGCCAGCAGCTTCCTCACCTCCAGGCTGCCTGGTCAAGCTGTGCTGGGGGCAGGAGTCTCACCCAACAATCTGACATCTCCTAAAACACCGTGGAATCCATCCCAAACCCAAGAGGCCACCCACTGCCCAACTGGCAGCACACGCCCCTCCCTCTGACCAGAGACCCTCAACAAAGAGTGAGGCAGCAGCAGGGTGGCCCCTCGTAGGCGGCAGACGTCTTGGTCCAACAATCATGGGTTTCCATCAGGACAGCTGAACTGAGCCCAGCCCCCTTCTCAGAGTTCAGTTCGGCTCGGCCTCCCTCCCCTGTGCCTGGGAGCTCAGGGCCGGCTCTGGGCTCAGGCATCACTACCTTCCTGTACCCACCTAAACACATGAGCCCCAGAGAGGACAAAGCCAGGCAGCAAGAAAGCAAGAAGCCCTCTTGGCTTTGCAAACAAAGGAGGGGCTGAAAGGTGGGCCGTGGGAATCAGGTGCCCAGCAGTCAACAGCGGGGAATATTGGGAAGGGGATCCACTGCACCACACATGGAGACAGCAGCTGGCGCCCTGACCCCTGGTCCTCTGGGTCCCCTGAAGGTCATCCCCCGGCTGAGTCCCAACTCACGGGTAGGGTCTGTAGGGCCTGAGCTTGTGCTAGCTGACAGCCTGCCTTAGGGCCCATGCAGGCTGCTTCCAGGCATGCCCCGCTATGGCAGAAGCTGCAGAGTGGGACCAAGGCATGGCCAGGGCCTGGCAGGGGCTGGAAGGGAGGGAGGGGAGGACAGAGCTTGGATGGGCAGGACAGAGCTGGAGATGGGTGAGGAAATGGTGGGTCAGGGGTGGCTCAGGGCCAGGTTTATGGAAAAGATCCAGTCTCTGGAATCAAAGACTTCAGACTGAGGCAGGTGACCCCTTGTGAACTTCAGTTTTGTCATATGTAAAATAGAGGTAAATCACAATGTCCCTTCAGGAGACGGATCAAGGAGATTGGGTGGGAACTGACACCAATCAGTGGGAGGGGCCCGGAGTGCATACAGCCTCCTTCCCTCCCTGCCCTCCATCCACCTGACTCAGAAGTAAGGTCATTGTCAGAATGAAAAGGGTAAAAAATAATTTATTTTTATTTAAATTCAATTAACATCTAGTGTGTTACTAGTTTCAGAGGTAGTGTTCAGTGATTCATCAGTCTTATATAACACCCAGTGTTCATTACACCATGGGCCCTCCCTAATGCCCACCACCCAGTTCAGTTACCCCATCCTCCCACCCACCTCCCCTCCAGCAGCGCTCAGTTAGTTTCCTACAGTTAAGAGTCTCTTATGATTTGTCTTCCTCTCTGATTTCATCATTTTATTTTTTCCTCCTTTCCCCTACGATTCTGTTTTGTTTCTTATATTCCACATATGAGTGAGATCATATGATAGTTGTCGTTCTCTGACTTATTTCAGTTAGAAGAATACCCTCTAGTTCCATTCACATCATTGCAAATGGCAAGATTTCATTTTTTTTTAAGATTTTATTTATTTTTTGACAGACAGGGATCATAAGTAGGCTGAGAGAGCAGGGAGGAAGCAGGCTCCCTGCTGAGCAGAGAGCCCGATGCGGGACTCGATCCCAGGACCCTGAGATCATGACCTGAGCCAAAGGCAGAGGCTTAACCCACCA